CCATGCCACCCTCTCAGCTTCCCCATGCCACCCTCTCCTCTCCCCCATGCCACTCTCTCCTCTCCCCCATGCCACCTCTCCTCTCCCCCATGCCAGCATCTCCTCTCCCCCATGCGACCCTCTCCTCTCCCTCATGCGACCCTCTCCTCTCCCCCATGCGACCCTCTCCTCTCCCCCATGCGACCCTCTCCTCTCCCCCATGCGACCCTCTCCTTCCCCCATGAGACCCTCTCCTCTCCCCCATACGACCCTCTCCTCTCCCCCATGCGACCATCTCCTCTCCCCCATGTGACCCTCTCCTTTCCCCCATGCCACCCTCTCCTCTTCCCCATGCCACCCTCTCCTCTCCCCCATGCGACCCTCTCCTTTCCCCCATGAGACCCTCTCCTCTCCCCCATGCGACCCTCTCCTCTCCCCCATGCGACCCTCTCCTTTCCCCCATGAGACCCTCTCCTCTCCCCCATGCAACCCTCTCCTCTCCCCCATGCGACCCTCTCCTCTCCCCCATGCCACCCTCTCCTCTCCCCCATGCGACCCTCTCCTCTCCCGCATGCCACCCTCTCCTCTCCCCATGCGACCCTCTCCTCTCCCGCATGCCACCCTCTCCTCTCCCTCATGCCACCCTCCCCTTTCCCCCATGCCACCCTCTCCTCTCCCCCATGCGACCCTCTCCTCTCCCCCATGCGACCCTCTCCTCTCCCCCATGCGACCCTCTCCTCTCCCCCATGCGACCCTCTCCTCTAACCCATGCGACCGTCTCCTCTCCCCCATGCGACCCTCTCCTCTCCCGCATGCCACCCTCTCCTCTCCCTATGCGACCCTCTCCTCTCCCCCATGCGACCCTCTCCTCTCCCCCATGCGACCCTCTCCTCTCCCACATGCGACCCTCTCCTCTCCCCCATGCCACCCTCTCCTCTCCCCCATGCCACCCTCTCCTCTCCCCCATGCCACCCTCTCCTCTCCCCCATGCGACCCTCTCCTCTCCCACATGCGACCCTCTCCTTTCCCCCATGCCACCCTCTCCTCTCCCCCATTCCTCCCTCTCGTCTCCCCCATGCCACCCTCTCCTCTCCCCCATGCCACCCTCTCCCCATGCGACGCCACATGTCTTTCATACGGTGGATCTTTACAAGGATATAGGAACGACGAGCTGCACGAGCGTGCTTGGTCTTGTTGCACGCACTCTTTGCAGACCAAATTTCGCTGGCCTTTGCTTACCTCTCACACTTGGACCTTCCATTTAAGGCAGGAAGTCCACCCGTGTCCCTCGCGCGATTGAGTTCGAAGAACACTTTTCTAGCAAAAGCTGGCTATGGCGGCTCCAGCAGCTTTCGACCTGCCTTCCCTTGTCGGCATTAAGTTGAACACGGAAATCTACAAATTTGGCATCCATGGTTCCCCATGCCATCACAGCTTCAGCAATAGCTTCTCTCATACAGTCAGGGTTCATCAGCGTTTTTCTCATTCGATCAAACCTGACTCACCAATCAGCGCACAACTTCTAGAACCTCCGTCTAATTTTCACACTTGGAACTTCCTAGAAACCTCAACAAGCTAGCTTCGCAATGGCCGCCAACGCATGGCTGTACGCAGCTCGCCAGCTGATGCCTCTCGACCTCCTCGTGCTCCTCGCCGTCACCAGCGCCAGTGCAGCACGGCCCATGCTGCAGCCTGAGACATCACGCTTCACCGCAACACGCACCGTTGACAACAGTATTCTCGCCTCCGCATCCGGATCTGCCTCCGGATCGACCTTGAGATCTCCGCACAGGGCAGAGCGAAAGCTGTTCCGGCGACCTGTACCGGGGCCGACAGGTCGCCCCACCAATGTCCACAAGGTGACCACCCCCCGCTGTGGTTGGGGGTGGGAATGCTGGGAGGGTGAGGGGGCCTGGTCGCCGACAACGGGTGACTGCGTCGGGTGAGCGTGCGCTTGCGCTTGCGCGCCGAGCCGTCCTGTTAGTGGGGCAGGAGCGGGTGAGGGAACGGGGGGAAGGAGACGAGTGGTAGTGGTGGTGGGATCGGCCACACCGCTCTCAAAACACATCCCCGCTCTAGCGCCCTCCTCGTCTCCCTCCTCCAGGGCGTTGGTCGATGTCGCCGCCTGCGCAATACGACGGAAAGGGGGGATGTAGAGATCGGAGGAGGCATAATGGGGGGCCACTACTAACTCTGGGTCGATGTCCATCCCGGTTGGGGAGTTGGCATCAACTGCTTGGCCCCTAGCCAACAGAGCATGTTTGGTGCGGGAGGGGGGAGAGTGAGATAGTGTGCATCTATGTGTGCACTGGTTGGATTCAAAAGAGCGAGCATGGCAAATGGTGCACCAATCATCATGCCATTAATCAGCATACACGCAACTCGTATAAGCAAAGAACCACACATGAATGCTTTGGGCTATGCACATTGCACACTGCACACTGCACAAAGCAGCCCAGCATAACCAGATGGTAGGCGGATGACATTGCGAGTTTGGTTCCGAGTAGAGACATCAGTTCTTTTTAGAATTTGCTGGTGAACTTAGGGTCTCGGTCGAAGATGAGTGTGGTTGGGATGCCATTTTGTGAGATGATGTAGCGAACAAAGAGTTGAGCCGTCTCCTCAGTGCGTGCTGTAGTGTGTGTTGGGATGAAGGGTCCCATTTTGGAGAACTTGTCAATGACGACGAGGATCGCGTAATGACCGCTTGTGGTAGTGGGTAGCCCGGTGATGAAGTCTAGGCTGACCACTTGCCATGGCTGTTCTGGGATAGGAAGAGGCTGTAGTAGACCCGCCTTCTTCTGTTTGCTGCTCTTCATCCGTTGACATGTAGTGCACGAGGTGACGAATTTCTGTACGTCATCTGCCATGTGGGGCTAGTAGTAGTGTTTGGCGATACCGGTGACCGTCTTGTTGCTACCGAAGTGTCCCGCATATAGGACGTCGTGGTATTCTTCGAGTAGTTACTGGCGCAATGGAGGGTAATTAGGTCCCCAGATCTTCGTTGATCCTTTCCGGTACGCGATGTCGTTGTCCCACAGTAGCAGATGTCGTTTCTCTGCCAAGGGAATTTTGGGGTCGATGGTGTACCCGTGTGTGAAGAGTCCCTTGAGTAGTGGATTCATCCCTTCAACTTGGATAGCGGCAACGTGTGCAGGCCGGCTAAGCGAATCGGCTTTCTTTTTATGTCCAGGCTTGTACACGATGTCGTAGTGGAAGTGCGTCTCGAGGAAGTCGATCCACCGAACCTGTCGCCTGGAGAGGCTTGGTTGCGTCTTCAAATATTTTTGGCTGCAATGGTCGGTGTAGACTGTTGTCTTGCGTCTTTCGAGATAGCATCTCCACGTTTTGAAGGCGATGATGATAGCAAGGGCCTCCTTGTTGTGTATCGGGTAGTTGAGTTCTGCCCCGTATAGTTTCTTGCTGAGATAGGCGATTGGTTGCAGTCCATTCCCCTGGTCTTGCATCAAGACTCCTCCCACTGCCTAGTCGCTGGCGTCAGCTTTGATGACGTAGTCGCGTTTGGGGTCTGGCAAGATGAGTACTGGTGTGGACGTGAGTGCTTGTTTCAGTTGCTCCACAGCTTCCTGGTGTTTTGGCTCCCATTTATAGGGCGTGTTCTTCTTCAGCAGATTCGTGATTGGCGCGGCAATTTTCGCGTATTGCAGCACGAACCTGTTGTAGTAGTTAGCGAAGCCAAGGAACTGCCATAACTCCTTTACGTTCTCGGGTGTCTTCCACGTACGTACGGCTTTGATTTTCTTGGGGTCAACGTGAACTCCTTGAGCGCTTATGATATGTCCGAGGAATTGGACTTTCTCGAGGGCGAAGTCGCTCTTGGATAGTTTGACGTAGAAGCGTTCTCGTCGAAGAATCTCGACGACGCGTCGTAAGTGTTTGACGTGTTGTTGCATGTCGCACGAGTAGACAAGAATGTCGTCCAGGTACACCACCACGCATTCGTCCAAGAGTGGGCATAGGATATGGTTCTTTTTTGCTTGGAACGTTGCAGGTGTGTTGGTGAGTCTGAACGGCATCATCAGATACTCGTACGATCCGTACCGAGTTCGGAAAGCTGTTTTGTGAACGGAATCGTCCGCCATCCTTATCTGCCAGTATCCGGACTGCAGATCTAATTTTGAAAATACCGTGGCTCCCAGAAGCTGGTCGAGCAGATCATCGATTCGTGGAATCGGGTACTTGTTCTTGATGGTCTGCTTGTTGGGAGCTCGGTAGTCGATGCACATGCGCAGGCTTCCGTCCGGTTTCGGTGTGAAGAGTACTGGGGCACCGTATGGTGAAGTGGATGGTCGGATGAGTCCTTTGGCGAGGAGATACTCGATTTGTTTTTTCATGTCGGCTAGCTCTGTGGGGCTGAGCCGATATGGTGCTCGGAAGGTCGGCTTCGAACCTGGTTCCTCCACGATCTCGTGCTGGTGCGTTCGGTATGGCGGTAGCTCGCACGGGAGGTCGTCGGGGAGAATGACTTGGAACTTCTTCAGTAATTCCTTGATTTTTCCTGGAGGTTCCGAGGTCTTCTCTCCGTCGGTTTCCACCTCTGTTGCTATCGCCAGGAACCCGGTGTCGGTCCGCTTCACGTCCTTCTCGAATCGTGCGAGTGTCTCCACTGGGATATCTGCTGTATCGTCCCAGTTGGGTAGCTGGACTCTCCTTCCTTTGTTGTAGATGCTTGCGGTGCGGTTTACCGAGTTGATCTCGGGGTTGAATCGTTTTAGGAAGTCTCGTCCAAAAATCAGATCAAGCCCTTTGATGTTGGTGATGGGGAGTGCAGGTTTCCAGCACAGTGGCCCGATTTGTAGGTGCAGCACTGCTTCGCCGTATACTGGTAACTTGCTGCCGTCCACCATCGTTGCAGAGAATCCTGAAGGCTTGTACTCTTCCCGAAGTCGGTCGATGGTTGCCTTATCGCATACGGTGTGCGATGCTCCGCTGTCCACGAGTGCTTGGAGGCGTCGTCCTTGTTGTGTGATGTCATCATATGCTATCACATTCTGTCTGCCTCCCATCCCTTGTTTCAATTCGCATGTATGGTTTGACTGTGTGTGAAAGAATTTGTGTGGTGTGTTCTGGAGTTTGGGAATGTGTTTTGTGTTATTCTGTTTGAGCAGGTATTTGCGATGATAGATCTTGAGAAGATCTTTCTGAGGCAACAAGAATCGCTTCAATCGGAGCAAGAACGCGAAAGCTATGAAGATTCAAAGTTCATGAGCTTGCGTTACAATTGCGGCGGTTACAAAGTGAAGTTGTGGGGTGACTTTATATGGAGTTGGGACCTTTGGGGGTTGGGGAAACTTGTCACTCTACTGTAACAGCTGCAAATAGGTTGGGAACAACCAAGCTAGGTTGGCAAGGGTGGCCAACTTGGATGGATTGGTTGGGAAGGGACAAAGGTCAAAGTTGAGGTTCCTATAGGGAGGGAATCTTTGTGCTTATGGGGTTTCCTTGGTTGGGGACTCTCTTGGGACCTTCCCTCTCATCCCTCTCTTCCTATCCCAACCTTTCTCTTGCTCCTTCTAATTCCTTGTGAGATTCTTGAACTTTGATTGAACTTTTGAGATTGAGTTAAGTTCTCCTCCTACAGCTTACCCCCTAATGCGTCGAAAGCCATAGCGTCGCGAATACTTCATTAATCAACGTGATTTAAATTGGGAACGGTAGCTGAGATTAAGAGCTACAACATATCCGAGTTTCGCGACATTCCAACGGCTAGTTGTTCGTCAACGTCGTTTCTTGTGAAGACGACTTTTCTGTCCAGAATTTCGGATTTATATTTTGAGTAATTCTAGTTCCTAAGTTCACCTAGACTCCGTCCTTAATCCTAACAAGTGGTATCAGAGCTGTATTAAGGACGTTGAGAGGAGTCTACAGAAGTGTGAAGACCCTTCTAGACCCACCATGGCCTGTGGGTGTGCCTAAGTGGTGTTCTAAAGGTTGGATGTGTCTTCCGCTAAGGGAAACTCTGCCGAAATTTCGTGGACGCCGACACTTGTGAAAATATCGAGGGAGCTGAGTGTGGACAGCAAAGGGGGGCTGAAATTCGTCATTTCTCAAGGAGAAGATGAATGAGAGAGGAGGAGATGCTAATGGAAGAGGAGCTGTAGCTGAGAAGACAAGTGAGCCGCCGCCATCAAAAGTTGAAGCTTTGGATGGCTCCAACTATGAGGAATGGAGCGGACGGATGAGAAGTGCCTTCAAACGCTACAAGCTACTGAAGATTGCTGTTGGGGAAGAGAAGATGCCGGAAGAAGGCGAAGCACGTGAACGGTGGATTGAGAAAAGCACGGTGCTTTTCGACCTCATCCTTCAATCGGTCAACAAGGAGATGTTCGAGCACATCAAGGATCTTGTGGAAGCGGATGATTCGGGTCCAAGGGCGTGGAAACTACTACGCGATGTGATTCAGCCCAACACTCTCCTGATGGTGATCGTGCTCGAGAAGGAACTTGCTGCCATCTCCATGCGACCAGGGGACGATGTGAAGCCGGTCCTTGACAAGATCAAGGACACCTATGCAAGGATGGCAGCAGCGGGCAGCAGTGTATCTCAGCTGCAGCAGTGCACCAAGATCATCTCGGTGTTGGACAACTCGTGGGATAACCTCATCCCCACCCTCAACTCTCAGCAAGATCAATGGACACCTGAGTGGCTAAGGCAGCAGATTCTGCAGGAGGACTTCCGCAGACGCCATGTGGGAGGCGGTGCTGCCACTAAGACTGCTGAGGGGTATGGAGCTGCAGGGCGCGGCAGAGGAAGAGGGGGTTGGAAAGGCCGAGGCCGTGGGAGGAGCTTTGGCAGAGGTAGAGGCCGAGGTGACTATAATGAGGGGCATGGGAGCTCTAGTGGCAGGGGGAGTACCAGAATGGAGGGCACGTGCTGGTACTGCAAGAAGGTTGGGCATCCTTGGTTCAAGTGCTTCAGCAGGCTGGAGGGATGGGCACCTCCAGGCATGAAGCCGCCCAGTGGTGAACGCGCACAAGGTGGCGCTGTGCAAGGCTCAGGTGCACAAGGTGAAGGTGCACAAGGTAATGCCTATCCTGGTTTGTTTGTTATGGTTGAGGATGTGCATGGGCATGAGGGTGATGTGGGATCTGTGGGAAAGGTTGTGATGCACCCTCTCACGCACTGGGTGATTGATTCGGGTTGCACCAGTCACATGACTCCACGGGCAGATTTGCTTGATGAGGTAAAACCCCCTGGGAAGATTAAGTATGTGGCAGCAGCGTCAGGTGCTTTGCTCCCCGTGATTGGTGTTGGGAATGCCAAGGTTAAGGGAGCTAATGGGGAGCTTGTGGGGCTTGGGAATGTTCTGCTGGTTAAAGGCTTGTCTGCTAACCTTCTCTCTGTGCGGCGACTGCAGAAGAGTAAGGCCGAAGTGACCTTTGGACCAACCAGCTGCCGTGCTAAGCTTGGGAAGAAGGTGCTGTGGAGTCTGGAAGAGGAGACCAGCTGCATCAAGGACCTGTGGCAGCTGCCCATCATCCCTTGGAATGGGAAGACTCCAACAGCAGCAACGGCAGCAGCGGCAAAGGCAACAGCAGGAGGAGATGCAACTGCACCAACTGATGGGGTCCTGGAAGCAGTCAAGAAAGTGCAGAAGCAGCAGACACATGGTGAGGTGCTTGCTGGTGTGGATGCGAGTGCGGCATGGGCTAAGGCTTCATCAAGGAGTGGAGAGGCCGATTGGGAGACATGGCATGAGAGGTTGTGTCATGTGAACTTCCCTATGCTGCAGAAGTTGGTGAAGAATGGGAGCCTGAAGGGCTTGGAGGTGAAAGGGGAAGTGAAGGAGATTGGGAGCTGCCCTACATGCTTGGAGACCAAGTTCTCCAAGTTCCCTTTTAACAGCACTACAGGACCAGCCAAGACCCCACTTGCACTTGTGCACATGGATGTGGTGGGGCCCACAAGAGCCCCTTCCCTCTCAGGCAGCCGCTATTTCTTGACAATTGTGGATGACCACACTCGGGCAGTGTGGGTTTGCCCTTTGAAGAGCAAGGGGGAGGTGGCAGCGGCTGTCCTTAAGGAGTGGATGCCGAGAGCTCAGAGGGAATGCGGACACAAGGTGAAGGTGATCCGTAGTGACAATGGTGGGGAGTTCATTGGAGCTGATTTTGAGGGGGAGTTGAAGAGGAAGGGGATCCAGCATCAACTGACAGTGCCCTACAACCCGCAGCAGAATGGCGTGGCTGAGAGGTTCAACAGGACCCTGCAGGAGGGGGCACGCACTCTCCTTGGGCGTGCAGGGCTGCCTGATCCGTTTTGGGTGTCTGCACTGAGGCAGGTCGCCCTTGTGAAGAATAGGGTGCTGGCTACAGTTGGAGATAAGGAGTGGATCCCATATGTCAAGTGGTATGGGAGTGCTCCAGCGGTGAACATGCTGAGGGCATTTGGGTGCATGGTAGTGTTTCATGTGCCTAAGGAGAAAAGAGGGAAGTTGGAGGCTTCTGGAAGATGGGGTGTGCACTTGGGGATTGCAAAGGATCACAAGGGATGGCTTCTATGGGACTTGACCATCCAGAAGCTGACAGTGTCAAGGGATGTGAAGTTTCTTGAGTCCCTGTACTATAAGGAATGGAAGCAGCAGCAACAGAAGCTTCCATCTACACCACTCATTGTGGAGGCAGATGAGTTGCAGCAGCCTTCAAGGCAGGTGGAGGTTGCAGTGTCTGAGGAGGAGATATCTGGGGTGACTGAAGAAGGGGGAGCAGCTGAAGTGGAGCAGCAGCAGCAACATGAGTCTCCACCTCGAGTTCCACACCCGCCTGAGCGACCTAGGAGGGATGTGCGCCCTCCTGTGAGGCTGACCTATGGGGGAAGAGGCAAGCCAAATGTGGTGCAGGCTGGGAGTGTGGTTGAGCAGATTGAGGAAGATGAGATCGCTCACTGCTACTGGGCACCAATCCCTGAGCCCAAGACTCGAGAGGAGGCCTTGAATGGACCAAATGGGGAGAAGTGGAAGGCGAGTGAGGATGAGGAGTTCGGGTCCCTGATTGAAAACGAGACATGGGACCTGTGTGACTTGCCTCCTGGGAAGAAGGCAATCACTTCCAAGATGATCTACAGGCACAAGTATGGACCTGAAGGGGAGCTGACCCGCTACAAGTCTAGGCTTGTGGCAAGGGGGTTTCAGCAGACAAAAGGGAAGAACTATGATGAGGTGTTTGCTCCTGTGGGGAAAGGAACAACACTGAGGGTGCTGTTAGCGATAGCTGCACTCCTGGGATGGAAGATACGGCAGATGGACATTGTGACTGCCTTTCTGAATGGGATCATTCTGGAGGAGGTGTACATGAAGCAGCCAGAGGGGCTGGATGATGGGAGCGGCAGGGTCTGCAGGCTGAAGAAGGCCATCTATGGCCTTAAGCAGGCGCCTCGTGCATGGTATCACAAGTTGGAGGAGGCGCTGTTGGCTGGGGGTTTCAAGAAGAGTGAGTGTGACCCCAGCCTGTTCCTGCTGCAGGAGAAGGACGAAATCCTCATGCTCTTGGTGTATGTGGATGATATCCTTCTCTTTTCTGCATCAACTGCTTTGCTGGACAGCGCAGAGCAGATGCTGGAGATGCAGTTCAAGTGCTCCAAGATGGGTGAGGTGAAGTACTACCTGGGGATGCATGTGGAGAGAGATGTGGAGAAGGGTGTGCTGAGGTTGCACCAGAGGAAGTACTGTGAGGGGCTGGCTGAGAAGTATGGGCTGCAAGATGGGGGAAAGCCAGCAACACCACTACCTTCAGGGTTTACTGTGGAGCCATGTGCTGATGAGGAGGTAGTGGGTGAGAGTGACAGGAAGCTGTTTCATTCGATGGTTGGGTCGCTGAATTATGCTGCAAATCATACACGGCCTGACATTGCATTTTCTACATCACGGTTGGCTAGTGTGGTCTCACGCCCTAGTCATGAGCAGCTGGAAGCGGCCAAGAGGTTGGTCCGCTATGTGAGTGCTACGGCATCAGTGGGATTGGATTACAGTGGAGTGAGGCAGCGGTTGCAGAGAGGTGCTGCAGATGTGAAGAGTGGAGAGATGCTCTTGAGTTGCTATACTGACGCTAGCTTCAACTCAGTGAAAGCGGATGGCACCAGCATTGGGGGATATGTGTGCTTGCTAGGAGGTGGTGCTGTGAGCTGGCGCAGCAAGAAGCAGAATGAGGTGGGATTGTCCTCATGTGAGACTGAGTACATGGCCTTACACCATGGGGCCAAGGAAGTGGTGTGGCTAAGGCGTTTGTTGGAGGAGTTGGGAGTTGGTCAGGAGAAGCCGACAGTTGTGTTTTGTGACAATGAGTCCGCTGTGAAGCTCGCCAAGAATGCTTGTCTGCATGGGCTGACAAAACACATAAGGCCTAAGTGGCATTGGGTGAGGAGACTCCTTGATAAGGAGGTGCGGCTGGAGATAGTGAAGACCCATCAGCAGGCAGCAGATATTTTCACCAAGCGTCTGGCGGAGGCGGATCATTGGAAGGGCATGAAGCTTGCTGGGATGAGTGTGCATTGAGTATGCATGCTTGAGATGTGGTATGGTGGATGATGGTTGGCAGCCAGAGGGGGAGATTGTTGTGTGATGTCATCATATGCTATCACATTCTGTCTGCCTCCCATCCCTTGTTTCAATTCGCATGTATGGTTTGACTGTGTGTGAAAGAATTTGTGTGGTGTGTTCTGGAGTTTGGGAATGTGTTTTGTGTTATTCTGTTTGAGCAGGTATTTGCGATGATAGATCTTGAGAAGATCTTTCTGAGGCAACAAGAATCGCTTCAATCGGAGCAAGAACGCGAAAGCTATGAAGATTCAAAGTTCATGAGCTTGCGTTACAATTGCGGCGGTTACAAAGTGAAGTTGTGGGGTGACTTTATATGGAGTTGGGACCTTTGGGGGTTGGGGAAACTTGTCACTCTACTGTAACAGCTGCAAATAGGTTGGGAACAACCAAGCTAGGTTGGCAAGGGTGGCCAACTTGGATGGATTGGTTGGGAAGGGACAAAGGTCAAAGTTGAGGTTCCTATAGGGAGGGAATCTTTGTGCTTATGGGGTTTCCTTGGTTGGGGACTCTCTTGGGACCTTCCCTCTCATCCCTCTCTTCCTATCCCAACCTTTCTCTTGCTCCTTCTAATTCCTTGTGAGATTCTTGAACTTTGATTGAACTTTTGAGATTGAGTTAAGTTCTCCTCCTACAGCTTACCCCCTAATGCGTCGAAAGCCATAGCGTCGCGAATACTTCATTAATCAACGTGGTTTAAATTGGGAACGGTAGCTGAGATTAAGAGCTACAACATATCCGAGTTTCGCGACATTCCAACGGCTAGTTGTTCGTCAACGTCGTTTCTTGTGAAGACGACTTTTCTGTCCAGAATTTCGGATTTATATTTTGAGTAATTCTAGTTCCTAAGTTCACCTAGACTCCGTCCTTAATCCTAACAGTCCTTTGCAGATGACCTCGAGCACGAGGGGCAGTCGTTGCTCAGAGTACCCAAAGATAATTTCATTGATTGGGCCATAGGGTACATCCCAATATTCGTTGCTTCCTACTCCTGAGCTGGCAGCTGGCCGGGGCTGCTTGGAGAACGGCTCTTCTCCAGGGCCCGGAGCTTCCATGACGACTGTGCGTGTCGTTGACGAAGTTGCCGAGTTGGATGCATCCGAAGAAGGAGTTCGGGGTTTTTGCAGCTTCTTGTAGACCCCCAGCTTCCTTTTGAGCTGCTTCAGCTCCACCGACGTCTTCCGTGGGGAACGGGTAGTCGCTGTGGGCTGGTGTCGGGAGAGGACATTGACTCCGTGGAAAGGTCGGCTTCTTTCCACACTCCTTAATTTGGTCCCCAAGTTCTCCGGTACCGGTATGATCTCCACAAGTTTCTGCTTCTTCTGGAGTCCCTCCCGTAATTTCTCCAAGGCTCTAGCCCCTTGAGAATTACAAGTTTTCATTCAAGCATCTTTATAAGATAAATTTAACGAATCATTATAATTTCTTGGGTCTTCAAGGAGTTTCCCCGTCTCGGCAGTCCTTTTTCGCGGAGTTAGATTTTTCCTCGGCGAATTCCTCTGGCAAAAACTGGTCGTGGGGTGGAGATTTTTCCCCATCATTTTCTCCTGTTCGCGTCGAATCAGCTGCGTCGAAGTTGATTTTTCCGGAAGTCCGCGGCCGCTTTCGGATCTTTTCTTTTTCGCCAGCTAGATCCGCAATTACTGGCGAGTCCCGTTTTTTTGCTTCTGATTGGCCGAAGGATTTCCGCCACTATTGCGTGCCCGATACTCAGCGCGTGCAGCTTTCATTTTGTTACAGTCGAAGATTCGATGACCCGGCACCCCGCAAAAATCACACGTGAAGTTGGCGTTTTTCGGACGTGGCCGCCCTTCGAACCTGTCGACTTCCATCGGGTCGGCGAACGTGGTCTGAGCCGAGCGGTCGCCCTGTCGTGTACTGCCGACGTGTGCCCGTCATGTTCGGGCGTTGACCATGTCGAAGCGTTCCGCGACCGAAACGACGTCACTGTAGCTCGCGTAGTTTGTCGCTGCCACTTGTCGTTTGACTTCGGTCTTCAGCCCGGCGAGGTACGACTGTACTTTTTCCCCTTCGGTCAGGTCGGGAATTCGGTTATAAATTTATTCCATCTGCTGCGTAAACTGCGCTACACTCCCGAACTGTCGATGTCCATGAATTTTTTCCCGGGCAAGGAAACCCGAATTTATCGGCTCGAAACGTTTTAACAGGTCGATGCGGAACTGCTGCCACATGGCTTCACCGTGCATGAAGGTGCTGTTGCGACCAATCCACTCGAGTGCCGGCCCTTGCATCAGTGTCGCCGCGAGTCGTACACGTTGACCATCCCAGACTGGCGAGCTCCATCCGACGGCTGCGAAGTAGATCTCCATGCCGGCGATCCATCTGCAGACGTCGGAGTTTCGATCGCTCGGATTGAACGGCTCAGGTGGGCGCGGTTTCGGAGCCTCGAGAAACTGCTGCGACTGCTGCGTTGTCGCCATTGTCATTTCGTGTTGCGCTCCGGCGAGTTGAGTTACTCGCTCGAACTCGTTTCACCACGCTTCGCGATCCGTTCGCATCTCCTCCTGAAGGGCTGCAATGCTCGCGAAGAGCTGCTGGGTAACTTCGGCGTTGTCGAAGTTTGCCATCCTATTCAAAACACGCGTGAGGGGGGTAATTCGAAAAAGCGCGGAGCTGGTGCTTACCAGAATCGGCGTTGAATTGGTCGCCCCCGGCGGTTTTTCGAGGCAGGTTTTCCCAATGCTGCAGCTTTGTTGAGCGCGGCCGATTGAGAAAAGCTCTGATACCAAGTGTCACCGGATCGAATATGTCGAGGAAAGGTTGCACTATCGATCAGTACAAGGCGCTTTTATACTTCCAAAGTACATCAGGTAACCAGGTTTATCTTATCCCAAGGGAATAGACCCTTCTAGAAAATAGAATCACCCTGCGTATAGCCACGCGAGGCTATTGGCGTTAAGCGATTACGGCAGGATTACGCTAGATATAGCGCACCAGTACATCCAGAGCCTGGCCGGTGATAAAAATGATAATAACATGATAAACCAAAGGATAATGGAAAATGGAGATTAGGAAACCAAATGAGATGAGATAAAAAGAGGAATGAGATGGAAAGGGAATATGGAAAGGAGAAGAGAATCGAACGGGGTCGTATTCTCACAGGCAGAAGCAGCAGCCGCAGGGAGCCCAGGGGGAGCCGCAGCAGGGGACAGGGGACGGGCTCTTGGGTAGGGCACCACCGAGACAGGTGCACTTTGCGCGTGAGGCGTTGGGAGAGGCTCACGCAGAGGGGAGGATGGGCGAGGGTGGGCTAGAGGGGTCGGTAGCAGGCGGGGGTACAGGAGAGACGGAGGGCGTGAGGGGAGTCGGGGCGGGAGGGAGAGAGGAGGTGTCGGAAGGGGCAGGGGTGGCAGGGGGAGTGGGGGAGGGGAGAGCGGGAGGGAGGAGAGGGAGAGTGAGAGGGGCAGTTGGGAGGGGGCACGACGACCAGAGGGGGGACATCAGGGGACCAGACAGAGCAGCAGCCCGCGCAGCAGCAGAGGCCAGCCATTCGCACGGGCCGCATAGGGGCACCCGCGCGCATCCCAGACCTCACTTGCAGGGCACTACGAGATGCTTTGATGGTGATTGTAGACGTCTCGGTGGCAGACCCGAAACGGGAGGGGAATGCGCAGTTCAAGCGGATGGCACCCACTTAGATTGGCAGCGTAGCAGCTAGATGGGTGCAGGATAAGCTGCGACACTGGAGGCCGGTGTTACAGGGTTTGCAGCCGGATGCAGAGTTCTATGCCTGCGTAGTGGAGACTGTTGGGTACTTGAGTGAGCCACTGCGGCAGTTCCTAGGGCTGTGTGCGTCGCGGATAGCATGGCGGAGGAGGGATTCAGGGGCAGGGGATGACGGGTCGGCGCGGATATTTGAGACGAGCCTCACTATGCGTCTCTCTGTGGCACTGCACCGGGCGCAGACAAATGTGACCATGCAGCATGCAGTGCGGCAGCTAGGTGGCTCTGACAATGGATGGATGCCAGCACCTGTACCTTTGGGTGCTAGGCAGGGGAGCTGGCACCACATCACAAGGTGCTTCGAGAGTGCAGCAGATATGCAGTATATGTATGATGCATATGTGTAGAAAAACATAAAAAACATATATAGGCCGTGCTGGAGACGCTGTGCCCACGCTGTGCGCGTGGGCTATTGCTTTGTCAGGTCCCATGATGTCCCTCTGATATAGTCACACCCCCCCTCCCTCCTTCCCCTCTCCTCTTTCTCTCCTCTTTCTCGCTCTCTTCTCCCCCACTCTTTCTACTACCTTTTTCCTTCCGCTACCTCCTCTTTCTTTCCTTCTCTCTCTCTTCTCTCTCTCTTCTTCTCTTCTAGACCTCTTAACGCTACTATGTCATAATAGAGCAACGCTCATGCCGAAAATCTCATCTTCGGTCTTAGAATTGCTATATGACTTGTAACCCTCGTCGTTATTAATGAGAGCACACATAGATGCATCCATCCAATCAAAAGAACAGCACCACCTCGTCATACGCCTCCATCCGCTGCCAGTTCCCGCCGAACGCCCAGCTCTCGTACCCGCCATACCCTGTATTAGCAACCTCAAATGAGCCCGTCTTGTAATACACCGTAAGTTCGGAGTTATCCCAGAAGTGCCACACCTCAACACCGGCGGAATCCGGGCCGCCTTCCATGGTGTGGCTGCACTTTATCACCATCACGTTGTACCCCGCGTTCATAAAAATCTCCGCTATCTTCTGAGTCACCTCGTTGTCATCTGGACCGTCGATCGTGCCCAGGCTCCCTGTAATGACCTGATCAATGGTCACCCCCTCCTTGCTGAACAGCTTTCACTCCGCCCTGTGCGGAGATCCCAAGGTCGATCCGGAGGCAGATCCGGATGCGGAGGCGAGAATACTGTTGTCAACGGTGCGTGTTGCGGTGAAGCGTGATGTCTCAGGCTGCAGCATGGGCCGTGCTGCACTGGCGCTGGTGATGGCGAGGAGCACGAGGAGGTCGAGAGGCATCAGCTGGCAAGCTGCGTACAGCCACGCGTTAGCGGCCATTGCGAAGCTGACTTGTTGAGGTTTCTAGGAAGTTCCAAGTGTGAAAATTAGACGGAGGTTCTAGAAGTCGTGCGCTGATTGGTGAGTCAGGTTTGATCGAATGAGAAAAATGCTGATGAACCCTGACTGTATGGGAGAAGCTATTGCTGAAGCTGTGATGGCATGGGGAACCATGGATGTCAAATTTGTAGATTTCCGTGTTCAACTTAATGCCGACAAGGGAAGGCAGGTCGAAAGCTGCTGGAGCCGCCATAGCCAGCGTTTGCTAGAACAGTGTTCTTCGAACTCAATCGCGCGAGGGACACGGGTGGACTTCCTGCCTTAAACGGAAGGTCCAAGTGTGAGAGGTAAGCAAAGGCCAGCGAAATTTGGTCTGCAGTGAGTGCGTGCAACAAGACCAAGCACGCTCGTGCAGCTCGTCGTTCCTGTATCCTTGTAAAGATCCACCGTATGAAAGACATGTGGCGTCGCTGGCGAGATCGTGGGTTCAATCGCTCGGGAGCTGGTCGACCGCGGGGAGTGCCGGCGTGGTACAACATATTCGATGAGTTGCTTGGGGAGCGGTTGTCAGCAAACGCCGAGGTGCTCGCGGGAAGC